CTGGACATAATTGAAATGACTGAACAACAAAAGCTTTCACCTACTTGACTGTGTTCTCCAGAAGGGAAGGGACCGCCTAATCCCTGTATCTTCCCCAGTTCCTCGCACAAAGGTCTGCTCACAGTGGGTACTTATAATAATGTGGCAGGCAGATGCAGAAAGATCCAAGAGGACTTTGGGTAGTGAGTTTATAGGAACAGACTCCTTCCGAAGAGGATTTGCTTTCCCTTGGTGCAATGGACTGGAACATATACACAAAGTAGCAAGGACTCCCGGAGAAGAGCAGAGGTTCCTGGGAGGAGGAAAAAGAAGCTTCTTGGAGATGGAAGTCATGAAAGAAAAAGCTGAAGGACAGGATCAGAAATGCCTGAGGCAAGCAGAGAGGAACTACAGAGCAGAGTCCAGAGGTTGAGAACTGAAGTGTCTGAGACAGGACAGAGCTGCTACATGAGCAGTGACTGTCTTGGAGCTGTAGGAAAGACTATAGTCAAGACCTTGGTGCCAAGACAAAGGCGATCTCTCTGTACTGGCCTTGGGACCCACTGGACCGTGCATCTAGGACTTTATCTTTTGGTGGTGTGAGGTTTTTTTCCAAAATTGTGTTATGTGCTTTTGGGGAAGGAGCTAGGGCAGAGGTGGGGAACTTGCAGCCTCAAGGCCACATGTGGCCCTCTAGGTCCTCAAGTGTGGCTCTTTGACCGAATCCAAGGGGATTTGTTCTGTGAAGTTTAGATTCAGTCAAAGGGCCACACTTGAGGACCTAGAGGGCCACATGTGGCTTCGAGGCCGCAGGTTTCCCACCCATGATGGAGTATCCAACCTCGCCTAGAACTGTACCATTTCCCAGGCTTCTTTAAGTTCAAATGACTTGGTAACTTTCCTTGTTGGTAGGAGGAAAGTAAATACCTAAAGGCCAGCTTAAGAGGAACCAAATTCCAATGTTTCCATGGAAAACCCTGAATAGAGGCATGAGTCAAAGAGTATGGTAATTGATAAACCTCCAAGACAGGAACCTCTGTGGACTATGAATTACAATAATAATAGTGATGCTGATAGCTGATATGTTGTATAGTTTGTATATTGCTATGCTCACATTGTCACATTGCACAACTCCGTGAGTTGAGAATTTTTGGTTCTAGAACCTTCCTCTGTAGAATGACAGAAAAAGACATCGAGGTATATGGGGTTAATTGACTTGTCTAAGGTCACACAATAGCCACACAAATGTCAGAGTTAATAAAGGAGGCAGCAATTAAACCTAGGGTACAAATATCTATACAGAAATGTATAAAATATGGGTAATGTACAAGGTCCACCAGAGATCTTCACCATAACTGAGTATGCATTATTCAGAAAGAACAAACTAGACAAAAGGGATGATGTTATGACACTATAGCCTATATTATGTTATGGTAATATAGGCATATAGCCTATATTAAGAAGACGTACTCATGTGGCTGCTAGGTGGCGCTATAGTGCATAGAGCGCTGGGCCTGAAATCAGGACCACTTATCTTCCTGAGTGCAAATCCTCACAATCTAGTTTCAGTTTATGATTCTAGGCTGCTTATACCTTCTCATCCACTCTATACTCTAGCTAAACTGGCCGATTTGTTCTGTCAATGACTTTCTGTCTCCCATTTCCATGCCTTTGCACAGACTGCCATTTTTGGAACGCCCTTCCCCCTTACCTCCACATCTTTGAACTGCTAGCTTCCTTCAAGGCTCAGCTTAGACATTACTCCTTTCAAGAGATTTTTCCTGAATTTCCCAGTCCTTCCCAATTACTGTGCATTTTGGGGACATATACCCTGTATTTACTACCCTGTGAATATGTTGCCTTCCCCATGAGAATATAAGATCTTTGAGGATAGGGACTGTTTTTATTTTTCTTTGTACCCCCAGCACCTAGTCAATGCCTGGCACAAAGTAGGTGTTTAGTAAATGCATGTCAATTGATTGAAATCCTTGACTACCACAGACACAGGCATCAGTCACCTCCAGTATTTGAAGTGGGGTGGATATGGACCAGAGTACAGGACCTGGGAACCAGGTCATCACCTTCATGTGCCAGAATTAGTTAAGCCTTCAAGCCTAGCGCCTGGTTGTCCAGGGAGACTTCTTAGGGGAAAGAATGATGCTCACTGTCCTATAAATTTTCTAGAAATGAATAAATGTAGGGTACATCAGATGACAGGGATTTGGGTGAGTAACAAGAAAGGAGATGGCCGGATCAAGGCTGGAGATAAAATTTCATGGGTCTACAACATATGATATTAGGATGTGACAAATTATACCTGAAATCTTTGTGTGGCTTGTTGGATAATTTGTCATCTGACTCAGATATGACCTTAATGAGCTTGCCTCTCAGACTTTGTTTTGAATTTCTGGTCTTTATTCTATCTGTATCTGATGCCACTTCTTCTCCCTCTGATTTTTTTCTCACTCTGAGACCTGGCCACTCAGTTGTTCGGCTTCCCTCTACTCCTGATCTCCCTCTATGTGGGAACTTCCCTGCTGAGCTTGTTTCTTTGTTCTCCAAGGAAAGGGTTTAGCTAACACCAGGTTCTCTGAGAGCTGAACTTTATGGATTAGTACAGACAAGGAATTCATAGTCAAGAAGTCCTGGATGCCTGGCATTGTCAGGGAAAGCTTCAAGGTCTCATGGACTGGCAAGGCTATGGACCAGAGAAGCATACAAGGGACACCCTGACTTGGCACTGCACTTTTTCTCTGGAGGAATCTCTGGTTAAGGTATGGCCACCATAAAAACACTTCTGTTGCTAGGTCTCCTGAGGCTTTCTGAACTCCCCAAAAGATATTAAAAAAACCAAACAAAAACCATGTAATCTGACTTATTTGTATTATTAAAAATATGTGAATGTTAACAAGACAATAACAACAAATTCTTATTTATGCTTAATTTCTACTAGTTCATGATTCAGTACCAGTGACCATATTCTTTAAATAACTTAAATACATTGGGTGTAGGCAGTCTCAATGTTGGTAGAAGTGCTGGTACAGTTTCCAGGTAAATGGCCATACCTGTTCCCTTCCTACCTCTGGTTTGGTTGCACTACCTTTCCTGTTGTCCTAATGAAAAACTTCACAAGAACTATCATGTCTTGTATTTTTGATCTTGAACAAAGTAGGTAAAATTAGTAAATTTTTAATTATATAAAAGGGGGAAAATTCTGCTTTCGAAAACTTTCAGGAAACTTTTAATAAAAAGTTGTTTTAAAAAAATTGGTATTATTATTATTTTTTTCCTTCCCAATGGGTAAGGGCAGGGAGAGAGGCAAAGAATTTGAAACTCAAAAAGTTTTTAAACAGAATGTCAAAAATAAATAAAAATACATTTAAAATTAAAATAAAATAAAATTTTAAATTGGAGTTAGCCATTTTTGTGGTTTGTTTAGTTGTGTCCAACTCTTCATGATCCCATGGACCATACTGTACATAGGGTTTTCTTGCAAAGATACTGGAGTGGTTTGCCATTTCCTTCTCTGGTGTATTAAACAGAGGTTAGGTGATTTGCACAGGGTTTCACAGCTAGTGTCTGAGGCCAGATTTGAACTTTGGTTTTCTTGACTGCAGGCCCTGCACTCAATTCAATGAGCCATCTAGCTGCTTGTTAGCTATTTTGGGCAGGACCATTTCAGTCCTTGCTTATTAGTACTTTGGTACACTAATTTGCAAATAATCCCAATTCCATGAATGGGTTCTAGTATATATATTGCATCCTCTCATGTCACAATGGGAGGTTAACATAATCATGTGAAGTTATGTAATTCTATTAGTCTCATGGGATCATAGATTTAGACATGGGAGGGACCTTAGATGTCACCCAATCCAATCCCCTTATTTCACACAGAAACAGGGCTTATTTTTACTGTGTAAATTTCTAAATATTATTAATCTCATAGCTTTGAGTATGAAATTGGGTTACAGAATTCAAGTGCCTGACGTAGTTTATAATCTTAGCCCTTTCTGGTTGGTTTAACCATGCTCAAAAGCTGCATAAACAGGCTAAATAAAATACAAACCGAGTTCTCATTAGAAGTTATGAAATGTGTATTGCTGTTCTACTGAGTACCTTATTTTCTGACTTTTCCATTGAAGGTTGCCTCTTCCTGGCTGCTAAGACAGTTTCTTGTCTTCCCCGTTCTGGGAGATTAAATCATCCCTCCATCCTTTCTGGAAGTTGTAACCAGGCGGAAGGTGTGACCCACTTTCCTGGAGCTCAGTCAGCCTAGGGAACATCTGCTGCTGCGTGGCTGGCCTGGGATCTTTTGATAATTACATTTCTGTGGAAATGCTGCTTTCTTAGAGGTGACCAATGTATGCACACGTGGGAATGACCTATTTTATGTTCCTCTGTATATGCATGTGTGTTCTTTTATGTGTATATTTTTACCTTTTTAAAGACCAGAGCTATTCTACCCATTGAATACTTCAGGTAGGGCTGTAACTAAAAATGCTTATGCCTGGGGCAAGTAGCGTAAAAAGCATGTTCAGTAGAGAAATGAGTTGGCCAGGATGTACCTTGTGGTGGAGACACAGAGACACTGGGGCATTGGTATTGGGGAGTAAGGGAAACATAGTCACAGGAGGGAAGAGTTCACCTTAGTAAACCAAAGCATTGCAAATGCTGTTAGCACTCTTTAAACCAGGCATTCTGGGGCAAAAGCCTGGTTGTGCCCCATCTCAGTTATCACTGTAACTTAGTGGTTCTCAATCTGCAGTCCACAAACTGCTTTAAAAACCATAACTATTTCAATATAATTGGTTTCCTTTGTAATCTTACATATTTTATTTTAGGTATTTGTATTTTAGAAAATTATTCTGAGGAGTCCATGGGCATCACTAGATCACCAAAGGGGTCCATGACACAAAAGAGATCTACAAACTCCTGTTCTAATTTAATGTGTAGAGAGCCCTTCCCCCACCCCAGAGTGGGAACCTGGTGCGGAAGGTTTAGAAAAGGTAAATCTTTCTTACTTGAGTTAAGGAGAGTCCTGACCTTTTGCTCTTCTTCAGAGTCTTTTATCTGCTTTTCCATCACCATCTTATCCTCTTCTATACATGTCTCAGATGTCCTAATGTATTCTAGGTAGTCAATTTCACGTTGGGCTCTTTCAACTCTTCCCCCCAAGTGATGCATTTCACTCTTATATTCAGTCTTATAAAGGTGGCATCTCTCCAGGTCCGCAGAGACCTTCTTAGAAAATTCCTGGAATTCTTGAATGTATGCCCTTGTATCTTGGCGACATTTTTCCAGCCCTTGCTTAAGTCAGAAAACAAATACTGATTTCAGACTTTATTTCCTAATGTATAATTACTAGCAAATGGAAAAAAATGGAATTATTTTATGTATTTCTTTCTCTTTCTTCTCTTTCCTCTCTTCCTCCCTCCCTTTCTCTTTCTTTCTTCTTTTTTTCTGTCTTTTTCTTTCTCTCTCTCTCTCCCTCCCTTTCTTTTTCCTTTCTTTTTTTCTTTCCTTTCCCAGTAGAGCAAAACACGTAGAATGAAATTGTTTTATTTACTGAGTGGCATTGACCTTCCCTTCAAAATGACAGTTCCAGGGTATGGGGAAATGGCCAGCGTGGCCATTTTTGACTTTTTTTTTTTTTTGATATTCTTTCCATATTTTACACCCATCTTTCTGAAACAATTTTGTAGCCATGAGAATAGCAAACTATAGATATACATGTAAGTAGTTGTGCAATTTTATTTTGAGGAAAACCTGAAGGGATTTAGGTACGTGTAATCAAGGTGGGATTATTTAAAGGGCAGTTGTGAGATTGCCAAGTGTCCATGACTATGATTTATGTGTTTAAGGAGGTGGGATGGGCAGGAGAAGCAACAGCAATGATCTCTCACCTCTGAAAATTCAGTTTTGTGGCCTTGGAGTCATTGTAATTTGGCTACCCTTTTAAGGGCAGTATTTTGATCAGGACTGTAAACAAAAAATGTGATATTACTTTGGAATCTATAATTTCTCTGAAAATGATAGCAAATAACCATTAGGTATAGGACGTGCTTTGACAGAAAAAAGTAAAAATTGATCAGAACTTAGTGTACTAAAAACAGGATCACATACTCTTTCTTTTATTCTTAATTAGCATAAATTGTGGACTACTTCATTTAAAAAATTGGGTTCAGTTTGAAAGAGAAAAAAAACCCCAGAATTAAGTTTCTGACTTATTTTTCTTCATTAATTTTGGTGCTGATCTAGCAAATTACCAGAAGAAACTATCAATTTGAGAGAGTTGCATGACTAAAAATGATATTACTTTTCTATCTCCACATTGTCTTAGATGATATAATATAGTTGATAGAGAGCTGGGCTTGAAGTCAGGAAGATGAGCGTTCAAGCTTGTTCTTGACACGTTACCAGCAAAGTAAGCCCATATAAGTCACGGTGTCCCAGGAGACTCTCCGAGACTGTAAATTGCACATAATTTAACTTTTAGAAGGGGTTTCTCACTGGAATTCCCCTTACCAATGAAACCAAAGATCTGGACAAAAAAAAAATACAGAAATAAATATAATAAACACATACATACAGAGGGACTGAAACTTCCTTTACCAGGGCAGGCCAGAAACTCATCTCTAACATACAGTCTTGAAAAATTACTGGGATACTGAGAAGTTAAATGACTGGCCCAGGGTTACATCACCAGTATGTGTTAGAAGGAAAACCTGAATCCGTGTCTTCCAGAATTCAAGGCTAAGTCTCTTCATTGCTCCAACATAGCTTTTGTCTCTGTCTTTCCTCTTTCTCTTTCTCTCCCTCCACACATACTCACAAATATATATTCTCTTAAACAATAGCACCTGCTTTTTCAGAAACATGTTTCATTGTCAAGATGGTCACAGTAAGAACAGGAGAAAAGTAAGTCATGTGTTTTTTTTAAAAATATAAGTGACAATGCAGAAGTTCGAGAAGGAGCAACACATTTCTATGGCCATTCCAACATACCTACCTCTAACATCTGAAAGCGTCGGAAGATGTATTGGACCATTTCTGGGTCTTGGGCATCTTGTGGCTGAAGAAGAAGACTCATAAGGCAGAAGACTAAGAAGGGTCTGGCTTGAGCTGTCATGATGCCACCAAATCACTGGGGGAAGAAGGTGGGGTGGGAAACAGAGGAATAAAATGATCACCCAAGAAACTCTGGGGAAGCTGTGGTTGAATGATGCCGTGACTTGAAAGCACAGCATAAAGAGTTGGAGTCTGTGGGGGGCACAGCAAATGAAGTTGGTTACTGTGGCAGCAAGCCTTTGGAAAACAGAGTGAAGAATGCTTGTTTGCTCCAACTGACGGGCCTTCTGGTGATCAAATCCAGCTGTTCATGCATAAGCCGGTCATGTGAGAAGTTCCAGGCATCGGTGCTTTCTCTGCCATGGGATGTTACACAATGCCTCCCTGGGGAACTTGGTGGGGGGAGACTTGGGATTTACTATCAGGAGCACTGAATGGAGGGGTTGGGGGGGCAGAGAACTGACACCTGCCAATGCCAGGGACTGCTTCAAGTTCCATTGCGGGGGACTCATTTTCTTTCTTGAATTTCTCCTTCTAAATTTGATATTTCTAGTTCACTGAAAAACTTCCCTTTATGCTTTCTGAAGTCGAATGATTGGCCTGAAATGAACTTCAGCTTTCCCAGGCCCTCGGAAAAATAAAGCTCTTTCGGAGGTTTACTGGGAGACCACACCCATTGTCCAGATGTCCAGATTCCCTCTGCAGTTTTAAAGGCACAGGAAGCAGTAATGAAAATGCATGTCACCACAGACCCATACTTTATTAAGGGCTAGCATACTCCTGTTAGTTCCAGGTTCTACCCAGAAACTTGAGAAATTCTCTCTAAATTTTCTCCAGCCTATGCCGCTGGCACCATCTTCCCACTGAAAGCCCCTTTACTACGACCAGTGTAGCAAAAGGAAGCCTTAGTAGTCTGGTGGTGAGAGCACTGAACTTGGCACCAGGAAGACGTAGGTTTCAAGGCCTGGTCCTATGGCTTTGTATGTCTCATATTTTTTTTAATCCATAATTTCCTTATCTGTAATAGCAGCATCATTTACATAGAGTTAGACTTTTTTTTTTTGGAGGGGTGAGGAGGAGCAGAGCAGGCCTGTGATTTCATTGGCAGAGGGAACTTCTGATTCTGATCAGACTGCTGTTCCACAATTTACAAGTCATGAGAATTGCCTGGGGCACTGAGATGCCAAGGGTCATGCAGCCAGTATAGATTAAAAGAAAATGGTTAGCATTTACAAAGTACCTGCTCTGTGCCAAGCACAGTGCTAAGCACTTTATGAATATCTCATTTGATCCTTGCAACAATCCTGGGGAGTAGGTGCTCTTATCATCTCTGTTTTACAGATATTTAAGAAGTATTTACAAACACAAGGAATTAAGGCAGTCTCTGCCTCAAGGAGCTTATCTTCTATTGGGAGAAGCTAAAAGGGAGCTAGAAGAGGGGCATATGCGTGAGATAGCATGAAGTGGAGATGGCCACAAAGCGACATGGAGGCCTGGTTCAGGATGAAATCAGGCAAAAACTTACCTATCAGACTCTGGCTTGCTAGAGACAAAGTCCAAGATTCTGGTGGGAGGGACTTAAGGAGGATGGACTGCTTTGGGGAAGAATGAAATAATTCTTCTCCAGTATTGAGTGGTAGTAAGATATTCTGGTAGCCCATGGGGGAGTCACAATAGGGAAATGTCCACTAATTATGATTGTTGAGGCCAAAGCTTGTGAGCCTTTGACTTTTATTGCTGTGCTAGGCAGCTAGGGTGCAATGGACAGAGTGCTAGTCCTGTAGTCAGGAAGCTATGAGGTCAAATATTGCTTCAGATACTTCCTAGGCTGTGTGACTGTGAGCATGGTCTCAGTTTCCTTAATCTGTAAAATGGGAGTAATAGCATCTTCTTCACATTTGTTACCAATAATGGAATCACAGTACTTTGTGTGTGTGTGTGTGTGTGTGTGTGTGTGTGTGTGTGTGTGTGTGTGACTTTTATTTCATAGTGCTAGATTTTTGCTTTCCAAAAATATTTTATTAATTTGCAATTCTACCGCCAATGAATGTTTATAGCTATTTCTCCACAACCCAGACAACGAGTTTAATTGTTTTTAATTTTTTTTGTTGCCATTTTAGTGAGTGTAGAAGGTGGCTCCTGAGAATTGTTTCAATTAGTGTCTCTGATTATTAAAGAAGTAATTTTTTGAGTATTATCAAGTGAGTAAACATATAAAGTGCTTTATAAACCTTAAAGTGCCATATAAATGCCATCATCATTATCATCATCATCATCATCATCATCATTTCCAATTTGTATTTCATTGGTGTCCCTTGACCGTTTATCCCTCAGCAGGGCTGGGGAACCTGTGGCCTCGAGGCCATGTGTGGCCTTCTAGGTCCTTGGTTGTGGCCTTTTGACTGAGTCCAAGTTTTACAGAACAAATCCTTTTATTAAGGGGATTTGTTCTGTGAAGTTTGGATTCAATCAGAGGGCCACACTTGAGGACCTAGTGGGTCTTTGCAAAATTTTAACAGTTTATTATATATGTTAGATGTCAAACTTTTATCTAGAATATCTGACAATATTTTACATCAATTTGTTACTTTGTTTTTATTTCTATTTTTGGTTATACAGATTTTATTTTAATGTAATCAAGCATATCTATATTGTGCCTGGAATTTCCTTCTGTTCAGTAGAAGCAAAATCATTGACAACTCTGTAATTAAGAAAAGCGTTATTCTAGTTTCTTCCAATTTTGTTTAATTCTTCTCTCTCTCTCTCTCTCTCTCTGCCCTTCAGTCTATTATCCAGCTGGAATTCACTGTGGTATCTGGTGAGTAACTAGCTAATATTTTCCCTCAATCTGTTATTTTTCTTTTCATCTTAGTAAAAATGCATTCTCATGTAAATTTGTGTAATGAAACCAACTCCATCTACTTCATTGCCTATAATTTCTTTTATTTTTCCTAATGAAAAAAGTTGTCTGAGACTCCAGAGTGCCTAGTAAATTGTAGGTGTTTAATAATTACTTTTTGAATTGAATTGGAGTATGAAATAAACTACCTCAATCTCATCCCTACTTTAGTGTTTATTTGCTTTGTGTTTTGTTCTGCTTGAATGAGACTGAGTCTCCTCTAAAACCATTTCCCATCGTATTGCTAACCAGTTTTTCTAAGCACATCTGTTAAGCGATTACTCTTCTCTGTATTTTTATAAGTTTAACAAACACTAATCTATTATTTATACTTGATTGCATATCTGGTATCTTAATTTTGTTCCATTGCCTATTTCTTTCCTTTTTTGCCTATTACTTAATAGTTTTTTAAAAATGATAATTGCTTCACATTATGTTTAAAGTCTAGGAATGCAATTCTACCTTCATTTTATATATATATATATATTTTTTTTTCTTCCACATGTTCCTTAATATTCTTGACTATTTGTCATAATATAATGATAGCTAGCGTTTATGTAGTGCTTTACAAATATTACCTCATTTTATCCTCCTAACAGCTCTGGGAGGAAGGTATTATTGTTATCTTACAGGAAACTGAGGCAAATGGAGGTTAGGTCTTATCCATGTAGGTTCCATGTCAGTCATCAAGCCATCATATCTGTTTCATTAAGATTTTATCCAGTTATATGAAGGAGTTTTTTGGTATTTTGATTATCATAGTAAATTAATTTTTGGCAATATTGTCATTTTAACAGCATGATTAGACCCATCCTTGAACACTGAATGTTTTTCTAGTTATTTTTAATAACCCTAAGTGTTTCATCGATATATTTTTTATCACAGTAATTTTCCAATTTTCCCTACCCCCTTCCTTTAACAAAGAAAAAATTAAGTCAAATTGGCCAACAACATGACTGCCTGATATTGTAGGCAATGTTGTGCATCAATAGTCCTCCTCCTCTTTTCTAAAAGGAGGGAAATGTGTTTCATCTGTTTTCTAGGACAAGGATTGGTCATTGCCATTTATCTGAATTCAGCTTTCTTTTAGTGTTGTTTTCATTTATGTTATTGTAGTGATTGTGTATGTTATTCTCCTGGTTCTGCTTTCTATGTATTGCTCCAGTTCATAGAAGTCTTCCCATGATTCTATAAATTCCTCATGTTTATTTCCCAATAAATGGGCAATTGTTTTGTATCCAGTTTCTTTTTTTTCTAACACAAAAAATACTACTATACATATTTTGGTTTTTCTTTCATATATTGGATCTCCCTGAAGTATATACTTAGTATTAGGAGTGTTGGGTCAAATGGTAAGAACAGTTTAATGACTCTTCTCACATAATTTCAAATTGTTTTCTGGAACAGTTGGATCAATTCATTGCTTCATCAACAGTGCACTCATATGCCTATCTTCCCATAGTCCTGCCAACATTGACTATTTCCTTCTTTTATCTTTTTACTAATTTACTAGGTGTGAGGTGAAATCTTAGAGTTATTTTTGCATTTCTATATTATCTATTTAGATGAACTTTTCAAATAGTTATTAATAGTCTGCATTTTAAAAAAGCTGTTTATTGATATTCTTTGACCATTTAATTATTGGTGAATGGTTCTTGATTTTATGTATTTTTGTCATATCCCTATATATTTTGTATATCTGACTTTCTCCAGTTATTAAGGTATTTATTTGTCTGGGCATTATTGTTTTATAGTTGTTCTTCTAAAGGTTATATGTAGTACGATAAATTTTTGTAAATGTTATAGGATACCTCCATAGGACCATATATTTAGAGTTGAAAGGGACCTTAGATTTCAGGTACTGGTTAGATTAAATAGCCTTTGAGGTCCCTTTGGACTCTGATATTCTATGATTGCATGAGGAAGAATTTTATCAATTTACAGTTCCACCAGCAATATATAAATGCACCTGTTTTTCCATAGTTCCACGAGTTCTGCCAGTTTTATTCTTGATGATTTGGTAGATGTGAGGTAGCATCTCCGGATTGTTTTAATTTACATTTCTTTGATTACCAACACTGAACATTTCACAAGTGATTTTTAAAAATAATTTGTGTATGATGCTTTTTATAAATTATCTCTTCATATCTTTTGGTCATTTATCCATTAGGAAATGTGTTTTTTTGCTTCTTTTAAATATTTATATCACATTTTTGTATACCTTTGATGTCATGCTTTTGTCTGTTACATTTGGTTTGCATATTTTTCCTCAATCTGTTATTTTTCTTCTTATCTCAGTTATAATGCATTCTCATATAAGTTTTTGTGATGAAACCAACTCCATCATCTCATTGCCTACAATTTCTTTTATTTTTCCCAATGAAAAAAAGTTGTCTGCCCCCTAAAGTTGTGAAAGAAGTACTATTCTCCTTTCTTCTCTTTAATGCTTCTTTTTATATTCACTTTCTTGATCCAGATGAACTTTATTATAGTATCTAGCATGAGGTCACATTTTATATGTTTTTTCCCATAGTACTATTGCAATTTCACAAGGAAATTTATTAGACT